AATGGAATATTAGTCAGCCATAAAAAGGAATGAAACCCTACGATTTGTGACAGCAGGAATGGACCTGGAGGGTATGATGCTCAGTGAAATAAGTCAATCAGAGAAAGTCAAATACTATATAATTTCACCTATATGTGGAATCTAAAGAACAAAATAAATGAACAAACAAAATTGAGCCAGACTCATAGACACAGAGAACAAACTGCTGGTTGCCAGAGGGGTAGGGTTTGGGGAACTGGGTGAAGGAGTTGAAGGGATTAAGTACAAATTGGCAGTTACAAATTAGTCTCAGGAATGTAAGAAAAGCATGGGAATATAGTGAATAGTATCACAGTCATTATGTATGATGCCAGTTGGGGTACTAGAAATATCTAGGGGAGCCCTATGTAAAGTATATGATTGTCTGGCCACTAAGATGTACACCTAAAACCAATACAAAATTAAATTGGGAAAACAAAAAGGAGAAATATCTCATTAAAAAGAAAGGTGGTGACTGCCATTTGTGTGACAGTGGTTTTCCAACATTAGTGCACATCAATACCACCTAGAGGACTTGTTAAAACAAAGATTATTGGGCCTCATCCCCAAGTTTCTGGTTCAGCATGTCTGGAGTGCTTTTGAAAATTTGCCTTTCTAACAAGTTTCCAGGTGATGCTGCTGCTGGTGGTCAGAGTGCACACTTGGAGAGCCTGTGGTGTATGGAGACCATATTACACGTCATTTGTGTTAGCCGATCAATGCATTCTTTTAAGTTTAGCTAGTATATTTAGAAGAACCAGTATGCTCATCAGAATAATCTATTACAATTATGATCAAATTTTGAATCCTGGTATAGTTGTTTCCATCTCACCCTATCTTCTATGTGGTTTTTGACCTTTTAAACTTTTTTATTGAGATAAAATTCATAGACTATAAAATTTACCATTTTATCATTTTAGAGTATGGAATTTAGTGCTTTTTACTGTATGTATTCAGAGAATTTGCAACTGTCATCACTTCACTATCTGATTCCAGAACATTTTCGTCACTCAAAAAAAAAAAAAAAAAAATCCCAGCCCTAGCCAGGTAGATCAGTTGGCTAGAACATCATCCCAATATGCTAAGGTTTCAGGTTCAATCCCTATTCAGGGCACATACAAGAATCAACCAATGAATGCATAAATAAGGGGAGCATACTAAGTATTTCTTTTTGAAAAGAGCCTCCTACCCATGAAGCAGTCATTCCACATTTTTTCCTTCCTCCCAGATCCAGGCAACTGCTAATCTGCTTTCTGTTTCTATGGATTTACCTCTTCTGACTTTTTATATAAATAGACTCATAAAATACATGGTCTTTTGTGACTGACTTCCTTCACTTATACTGATACATATTGTCACATGTGTCAGGATTTCATTTATTTTTATGGTGGAATAATATTCTGTTGTATGAATATACCACATTTTGTTTATCCATTCATTAGTTGATGGATATTTTGGGATTTGTTTCATTTTTTTTTGTTTTGAGTAATGCTGCTATGAGAACATTCATGCACAAATTTTTATGTGAACATATGTTTTCAATTCTCTTGATTATATACCTATAAGTGGCTGACATTTCTTTTATTTTTAAGTCCCCCATTATAAATGTATTATTTATTGTAAGCTATATAAATTCTTTTTGAAAGTAAATGAGAAGTAATAGGCATTCACTTATTCAGACTTTTGAGTCAACCAATAATATATTGTGAACTTATTCTATGCCAACAACTATTGCAGGCACATACATCATCTCTCTGACTTACTGCAACAACCATCATGAAGTTGTTACAACTTTATTTTATACGTGAAGAGCTGGAGAACCAGAAAAGCTTAGTAATGTCCAAAGACACATGGCTAATAACTGGTGGGACTGAACATTGAACCTAAGATCTTCCAACCTTGCTCTTTTCTTGAGTCTGTGCTGCCTCTCTGAAGAAAAAATATAAATAAATCACTGTGGTTTGTTTATTATTAATGACGGTTGGATAGTATTCTTCTAGACAGTAAATCCATGTTTAGTGTTAAGGTTGTTCCTAATTCTAACCTGGAAATGCCTGTTCTTTTTGTGAACGTTGCCTTAGTCGTCCTTTGTTCTGCATATTGAAATCCACTGTACTCTTAGCCCTTTAACTCTTGATTGACTATGATACTTATTATTCAATACACGTTATTTAAATGTTCTTATTATGAATTTGCATTGAGTCTGGTAAGGTAACATAGTTAATTTTATATACAAAATATATAAATATATATACGCTATTTTATACACAAAATAGAATAAGTCATATCCTCCGTAATTCTAGTTTTGGAAATAGCGTTCTATTTCAAACTGGAAAGATTATAGACGCCATAGAGTCCAATACCTTTCATTGATAAATGAGAGCAGCGAGATTCATTAAAACATAAGTATATCTTGAGCACCTCTGGTGTGCCAGGCACTGCTGGAGACACTGAGGACAGTGTCATTACTCAAGCAGCAACACTGCCCTGCATAGAGAGCTGTGGTCTGGTTGGGGGGACTGGCAATTAGTACGTTTACAAATAAATACATTATCACTTCAAAGACTGTAAGTGCCAAGAAGAACAGACAGCAGGGTGATGAAATGGGCAATGACTTGGGGGTGTTATTTGGGTACAGAGTAGTAATGGTCTATGGCCTGAAACTGAATGAACAAAGGAACCAGTCATGTTAGAATCTGGGGGATGAGTGTCCCACACACAGAGGACAGAGAGTGTCAAACCTCTGAGGTGGGAAGGGGCTCACAGAGTTGCAGGAAGTTGGCTGGTGCAGCGAGAGCCGATGTGGTCTCCAAAGTGGGGTGCTCCACCTATGGGGCACCAGAGACGAAAGCACTGAAGTATGGGAGTTAGAAAAAACTATTACAATTTCTTTTTTCACTTATTTTTATTGTATACTTTGTAATTTCTATGATTTTTAATGTTTTCATTATATAAATACTAATACAGTGGTAAATATGTATAATTTACAAATACTTACATATATATTGTGGGAGTATACATTAAAAAATTTTACTGTGTGTCTTTGCAGACCACTGGATCAGTGGGCAAAGAGAAGAGGGGAAGGAGATGGAGGTCCTTGCAGGTCATGCTAAGAGTCTGGTGTGTTTCCAGTGCTGTGGAAAGCATTGGAGGCTTTGGAGCAGGGAGTGATCTGAGGATCTGAGCTTTTTGGCTGCTGTGTGAGGAAGCGACTTACAGGCAACAAGGCTGGAAGTAGGGAGACCAGTTCAGGAGCTATGGCAGAAACCAGGAGGGAAGTCATCGTGGCCTGCACTAGCGTGTTAATGGGAGTGAAGGAAAGTGGCTGGGTTCAGGATATGTTTCAGAGGTTGGGTGACAGGACTTGATTGTAGGCTAGATGTGGGAGAAGGGGATGCATCAAAGAAAGGAATGAATGGAAAATTACTACTACTGGTTTTGGGGTACACAACTGGGTAATCCATGGTACCATTTGCCAATTTGGAGAAGATGGAAGGAGGTACTGGTCTAGCAGTGAGGACAAAAATCACAAACTCCATTATGAAATGTAGAGTTAGAGATGCCTATTAAACGTCTAAGCAGAGAAGGTGAGTAGGCCTTAGGATACTGGAGCCCAGAAGTAGGGGGAGACATAGGTGCTAAACCAAGGTCTCCTGACTCTGCTGTGTATGTTCTTCCCTGTTCCAGTTGTTCCCACAGTGATTTTTTTAAGTAAATCAATAATTAAATAACTAAATAATATAGAATCTACAAACAAATATTGAAAGTAAATTAAATTTAAATATTTTAACCTCTTTTGGATTAAGTAGGAAAAGTGAGTTAAAGTCAAAAACATCACTGACAAGTTTGTGGGATCACAGAGTTACTGAATCGACTGGACGGCCACCCTGCTACCCTCCCTGGAAATGCCCTGGGGTCACTTTCTGTCTCCATTTTCTACAAGGCTCTTTTTCAGGGGTTTTGTTTTTCTCTACCCAGAGAGGGCCGTACTCTGCAAAGAGAAATAGTACTGTCAATGTGCTTTCTGAAAATTAGGCAAGTGCTATACAAAAAATGATTTCTGAGTCTTCATTGGTCCAAGTTATCTTTGAATCCCTTTATACCTCTCAAAGTTACAGAAAACTGGCAAAGTTGACAAAAGGCTAAATAGAGGCAGACTTAGACTTATTTTTTTATGGCATCCCTGGCCTGTGTCCAGTAGTGTCAGTAACACCCCCACGTGTACCTGTGACAACCAAAAATGTCTCCGGACATTGCCAAATACCCCTGACTGGAGGGAAGTGGTGCCAAATTGCCCCAAGTTGAGAACCACTGACTTGGAGAAAAGAGGTAACCCTGGACTCCACTGATCCGTCATCACTTGTATTTAAAAACAACAACAACAACTATAGAAAGAAAGGGTTAGCTTACATATACTAGAAGATGACTGGTTAGTAAATAGTCTCTTATCTTTTAGAGAATAGTATAGGGTGTAAAATGCATTTTTTTCTGCAGAGATATAAGCCTAGGTGATCTTAGGTTATCCAGGGGAAGTATAGGCTCCAGCCTTAAATTTCCTCGGAGACCCTGATTTCCAGCTGTGGAGAGAAGGGGCAATCTCCTGCCTTAGCCTAGTCGAGTAAGGCCACCTCCCACCTGGCCAAAGCACTGGGCAGTTCCCAGGGTTAAAGACCCACTGCTGCTACTCTGGCCCAAGTAAGTGCTCAGTACATGCTTGTCATATGAATGAATGAATGATCCTTGTCTGAAAAATACAATTAGTGCAGTTTACCTCCTGATGGCCCTGTGTGCTCTCTGGCTAGTCCTGCCTGACAGGTGGTCAGTTTCCTCCTGTGTGCAGACTCTATCCCAGTCCCCACCAGACCCAAGAGGAGTGCCCTGTCGGGAGGTCAGGAAGGGAGGAGCTGTGGATGGGGAATCTGGATGGATCAGTGCACAGGCCTCCTCCCAGAAGTCTATGAGCTCTTCTCTTCTCTGTACAGAAAACCGGCCCATCATGAAGAGCCTGACCTTGCCAGCCCTCTCCCTGCCCATGAAGCTGGTGAGCCTGGAAGAAGCTCAGGCCCGGAGCTTGGCTACTAACCATCCTGCTCGAAAGGAAAGGAGGGAGAATAGCCTGCCTGAGATTGTCCCTCCCATGGGCACCCTCTTCCACACTGTCCTTGAGTTACCAGACAACAAGTAAGTGGCATTATTTGCAATTCTGGGAGATGATTGCGTGGAGGGGCCCAGAGGAGGAAGAAACATAGTCTCGGGGCCATGATGACAGCATGCATTGGGGATGCAGTCTGGGCTGGGGTGTAAGGAAACTTTCCGGAAGAGAAAGGAGCTGTCTCCACAACTCTCTCACCAGTGGTTGGTGCCTTTGCTCACTGCCCCAAGGTTGTCAAGACCTGAGACCCCTGGTGTCACGATGGAACTGGGGCTCAGAGGTATCAAGAGTCATGAATAAAACCCCTTAGACCTTAGTTTAGACAAAACACCCTCGACACTTTCAAAAGGAAGTTTGCTAAAAATCCAAGCAAAATGAACAAAACAATAAAAACTTGACTCTCTTCCCTCACCCGTCACCTCCACGAAGCTTCACAAAAGATTCAGAGATGAATGGAGGCCGTGTTGACAGGCAGTGCCACTGTAGACCGGGAGGTCGGGGCACGCAGGACTTGGAGATGCCATCTCTGGCTTCCATTCCTCCTCTCATACCTGCCAGACCCCCCCCCCCGCCTTCTCCAAAAACACACCAAACATCATTTTAAATCATGGAATATTTTCTTTCCTCAGTCCTCCCTCTCACTTCCTCTGTTGCAACCCTATTCTCAACACGTGTCTTCGCTGTCCTCGCCCTTATGTTCCCCTGTAAAAATGAGGCAGCCATTGTAGCCGGAGTCATAAATTGTAGGCAGTCAGTAGGTGGAGGAGCTGAAAGGCAATCTTTTCATTGGAGAGTGTCGTCCTTGCTGTTTGGTCATTATGAGAACAGATACCTCAGAACTCTTGTCAGTGTCCTCCCCTGGATGGCAGGACTGTTTCCCTTTGGGGAAGGGAAAGGAGTTCTTCACATTACACAACTGTAGGGGGCACCTGTCACACTGCATGCCGTGGGGATGGAACACCTGGAACTGACCTGCTGAGAACTCCTCCACCTCCTAGAGTACATGATGGTAAGCTCTCAAGACTGAGCCCCAGAGCTCCTCCCCCTGAATCCCTGGAGAATAAGACTCCCACTCAGGGATCAGGAAGAAGCATACCTCAGAAGGATCATCAAGTGCATTTTCTCTGTGCCTTCAACCACACCTGAGATGCACCATAACCCAGTTTATGCCACCCTGTGAAATCCACCCTAAGGCCAAGTGCTTGAAAAAACCTGACTAGATTCAAAGAAACCACCCAACATAGCAGATCTCCTCTGATTGATGGTAAAAATGTGCTGGGCTTGAGATGTGGGTGTTCTGTGAGAACCCTGAAGAGAAAAGGTTTTCTTTGGAGCCCACAGTTTCCAGGGTTTTATCCTGGAACTTGATGAATCCTGAACGCTGGACCCGGCAAGGGCAGGGCAGAGCCTATGTGGGGACCCCTGGTGGTGACCCCCGGTGGTGCCAGGCTCCTGGGATTCAGTCCAGCACTCTAATTTCCTTGCCTCCTACTGAGGCAGCCTGGTGCCAGGCGTCAGGAAAATGAGAGACAAGCTTAACTACTCAGGGTACTTCTCTGCCGTGACCACTGACCACACCCAGCAGCCTGCCACTCCCCCAGGCCACACTCTTTTCCAAGTTCCTTTCTCATACACCCCTTCGCAGTCCCCAAAAGCCTTCACTAGCTCTCTTCTCACTTGTGGATGTGACAGCAGTGTGGCCCACCGTTCTGGGAGCATAACAGGACTGAGGCCTATGGTCTTGAGTGTTTATTCCTGTTAAAAAAAAATATATATATATATATATACACACGCGCCTTTGAAAACCCAGGACTGAAGTGTTTACCACCAGAATTCCCAGAACTGTGTGGCTGCTTGTGACCTCTGAGTCTCCCATCAGTCCTGGCCTCTGTTTGCCTCACCACCGCCTTTAATGGCATGCCTTTGCCTCTCCCTCTAAGGAATTCAGTCCTTTGTTCTGACTCATGAAAGCCTAGCTTGGTTAACTAGGGCTTCCCAGATACGGTGAGAGTCAGGCTCAACTTGGCATTTAGAGAGGAATTTCCTGAAATGTCAGAGTCATTCATAACTAGGACACGTTTGGGGTAGTCCTTCTCAATTTAAAAGTCCCACTGAAATGACTAGTTACCAAACTAACCCTTTATGGCTTGGCTCTTTTAGAAGAAAGCTCTCCAGTAAATCAAAGAAGTGGAAGTCAATATTTAATCTGGGACGTTCTGGATCAGACTCCAAATCAAAGCTGAGTAGAAATGGGAGTGTATTTGTCAGAGGACAGAGGCTCTCAGGTAAGAACCAATAGGGACTACGTTTATGAGATACTTGTCCCACTAACTCTGCTCTTTAAGTCTTCGGTTTGATCACATTGAATTCACTCACCCTGAAAGAGAATCTTTCATATTAACTAGAGAGTCTTTCTGGGTTTTTTTTAGACAACTTTAGATCTACAAAAAAGTCACAAAAATAATACATAACCTGGATAGTCTTCATACAGCTTATCCAAATTTTAGCACTATACCACTGTAACATAATGATCAAAGCCAGAAAATTAATATCAATATAGTATTACTAAGTAAATTACAGATTTCACTCATATATGGCCTCTCATCCCACGAATGTCCTTTTTCTGGTCCAGGATACAGCCGAGGAACGCACACTGTGTTTAGTTGTCAGGCCTCCTTGACCTCCACCAATCCAGAACAGTTTGTCAGTCTGTCTGACCTTGACACTTTGGAAGGGCACTGGCCATTTGTAGAATATATCTAAGTTTGGGCTTGTCTCATGTTTTCTCACGATTAGACAGAGGTCAGGAATGCTGCTCCCGTCTCAGTGTGTCGTATCAGGAGGCAGATGATGTCAGTACCTTATGGTGGGTGATGTTAATTTTGATCACTTGGTTAAAGTGCTGTCTACAAGGTTTTGTCCCTGTACAGTTACTGTGTTTTCCTTTGCAATTAATAAGTATCTTGTGGGAGATAGTTTCAGACAATGCAAATAGCCTGTTTCTTATCATACTCGAATCCATGATGTTAGCAGCCATCACGGGTTCCACATACAACAGTTGCTACTGTGATGTTTGTCAAAGGGTCATTTTCTATTTCCATTGTTCCTTCTACATTTATTAATTGAACTCTATCATAAGGAAGATCTGTTCCTTCTCCTTCAGAGTCAGAGTCATGATTTTTAAAGACAGATGGGAGTTATAGCTGAGCAGTGAATAGGAACTGATACAGGAATGAATTGAGGGACCCGCTATACAATGGGGAATATTACCTGTCTGGGTGAGTATTGTGTCAGAAAAGGTGGACCAAAGGTATCTGTCCTAATGACCCTCTAGTGTTATAGGTTGAAAGTATGATTTTTAAAAATGGAAACAATAGTTATAAAAACAAGTTGTAAAAGGTGAATGTGCCAATGCAATGAGTAGACCTTGACCAGATCCTAGTTTGGAAGAAGGAAAGGCTACAAAAGACAATTTGGGGAATGAATCCATTGAATATTAGAAGTGTCAATTTTCATAGCATGCTAATGGTTCTTCGAAGACATACACTAAAGTTGAAGTATATAAGGAAGTGTTACAGTATTGAAATTCACTTTCAAATGATTCAGCAAAATATAGGTATAGGTGTGTAGGTAGATATAAGTATCAATATAGATGAAACAAATACAAGGCAAAATATCAGCCATTGTACCAACCAGGTGGTAGATTTAGAGGTCAGCCAGCTTTGCTGCAGGAGGTCTGTGGTGAAGTCACAGTACTGGTGATTTTTAAAAAGTTTCCCAGATGATTCTGATATGCAGCCCAGGCTGAAAACTGCTGTATTAATATCTCATAAACGAACTAAGTGTAGGTAGATCATCAAACTGGCCAAATTTTGGAAGAATGCAGGAGTAAAATTAAAGAAACATCAGTGTTAATACAGGTGGCCCTCTGTGACCTGGTATTGCCTGTGTGGCCTCTTTTCACCACAGGGGCATTGCTGGAACCCTAGAAACCAAAAACTGGGGTGGTGGTGGGGGGAGCTTATGATCATAACCCAGCAGCATGGTCTCCATAACTGGCATGCGGACTGGCTATTTGTTAAAATGTGAATGTGAAAAAAGTTAATCACTAAATGAATATATTTAAATAAATTGTTAAGCTTTTAAAAAACAAAACCCCATAACTCAGGACATTTTAAGTAGCACTGGGAATTGTTTTTTGGTGGGGGAACAGCAGGTAAAGGGATGTTTACCGATACTGAGAGAATGGAACAGAAATAAGAAACGCTGGGGTGCTGACGGAATGGAGATGCATAAACTGCTACACTTGAGTGAGTGTCACCAACAGGAGGGCTGCAGGGAGCCCTCGAAGGTGAACTCCTTTGAGCAGGAAAACCCCAAAGCCATGGAAACTGGTGGATGCACCACCATGGGGTGAAGGTCCCAGACCGAAAAATAGAATCTGAAGACAGTCATGGGCCAAGGAGCCCCAAGTGCTAAGTTACTGTCCAGAAAAGGGGCCAGGACATCCTTGGTGACTGTTCCCAAAAGCAGCTGCTGTGGCCACCGAGTCCACAAGGAGCTGCACTGTCCGAAAGAGGGTCCAGTGTGAAAGGTGAGCACCGATGGCCCTGCAGACAGAACTGTTGCCCACCTGTCATGACACTTGGGGTCACGTGGTCACTGCCCCTAAAGGCTGACCTGTGAAACCCAGCAGAAGTCCAGGAGTGTGGCTTCTGGAAACAAAGAGAAAAGCTTGTGTCAGAATGCACAACGAAGGGTCACTGGCCAGGCAGTGTTAGGATAATGCATCAGTTTGTCAACTTGTGAAAATAGTGGATCTTCAAAAGATAAGAATTCTGGCTCCCTGTTGGATGTGAGGAGGTTCACCAAGAGTCTGAGCGAAGATGGCTGTGTCTTCCCACAGCACAGTGGACCCAAGCATTGAGAGCCCCTGAGCTGGGGCAGCCAGGGGACTGGTGCAGAGCCTGCAGAGGAACCGGGTTTGGAGCAAAAAGGAAAAAGGGGGAAACTTCCAAAGAGGGACAAAGCCCAGTTTGGGTTAAGGCCAACTCCGAGTGCTTCTTCTAGAACCGTCTCCCACCTTCCCTTTTATTGCTGAACCCTGGTCTACCCTGAATAACAATAACAGTAGTTACTTTTTATTGAGCATTTACCCCATTCTAGGTTAGCACGCCTACTTCTTTTATATGCATTACTCCTTTAATCCTCACAACAGCTCTGTTTCATTTTACACACAAGAAGACGGAAGGTTAGGAAACGCACGCTGCTGATCTGAAATCTTGGGGCCCAAAAAGTGGCAGCACTGAGATTCAAAGTGCAGTCTCTTTGAATCAAGTCACCGCAACGCCACGAGTTCTAGGGCTCCCACTCAGCTTCCAAAGTGCCCTCTTTCCGCTCCTAGCAACCCTGACCTAGAAGGAACTACCTTGCAGTTAATTCAGCTCCCTGAAAACAGAGTGCCTAACCCTGTGCCCAGAATAATTTTTTACTGAGTCAAGTGGCACTCTTCCAAAAACCTGCTTAGGTGGCTTACAAAGATGCACGGGGTCCGCCAGGCACATAGTAGGTACTCAAAAAAAGGTTTGTTTGCTCAGTATCTGCTCCAGGGTGAGGTTGTGTGAGAGCTCAAGGAGCAGAGCTGCACATGGGAGAGAGGTGGCCGTTCCCCTGGGCCCTCTCACCTGTTGCACCGACTTCTTCGATGCTGAGAGATGTGGCTGTCGCCAAGAATCCTTCTCTCTGGGCTGCCAACTAGGAGGGCCTGCCTGGAGCCTCATGGCTTCTACTCCACAGATGAATGTTTGAATCCTTGTTGTGCCGTAACTTTGGGCTAAGGACTCCTCACTTGCTAATAGCTGGTATTTAAAAAAAGATCTACAGATTCCCTGTTTTTTAAGGTCAGTCCCAATCAGAAAGTGGGAATATCCAGGGTTGGTGGGGGGGATGTTTTCCAAAGGAAAAAATTATAAATACTTGAAAAGCTTTGCTAAAGACAGTTTTCTTGTGTGCCGACACAAGACCTTTCAGATCTGTTGCTCTGAAACTTCCTCTTACTATGCATTCAACAGGGATATTTGTTTCTTTTTTTTTTTTTTTTAGTGGAAAAAGCTACTATCCGACCAGCTAAAAGCATGGACTCACTGTGCTCAGTGCCTGTGGAAGGTGAGATGGGACCGTTGTATCCGGGACTGGGGGTTACAGCTCGGAGACCAGAGGTGCTGCACCAGACTCACCATCATAAGCAACCGGGCCTGCTTGTGTCCAGCCACAGTCACACACACTCCCCCGGGCCTAACGCCCTCCCTGGCCTTTTCTGAACTCACAGGTTTCATGTAGCCCTTAGGGCTGTGGGTTGCCACCCTTCAAGGCAAGGCAGGTTCATGGTATTTGTGCAGATGGAAGAATATTCACGGAGCCGTTGGGGTGTCTGACATGCCTGTATTCATGAGTGGGTGCGCCATGCACGCTGCAAGCTGTGTGTCTATCTGCCTGTCTCATGTCATGGCCCCAGCTCCCCAGCATGGCACCTGTCCCCTTGTGTGTCTCTCATCATCATCGCCCCCAGCAGGAGGTCCCTACCTGTTTAAATACTAGAGGGGAACAAAGCCGGAAAACTGCAGAACATTACATAATATAACATAATTCTGCGCATGCGAGCTCACTTCATGTTATGGGAACAGTTTATCGGACCCAGTCTCAAGGCTATGAGAACATGACTTATCAGGCCTCTCCAAGGCTGTGGGAACACTGCTCCCCTTAGCTACCCAGACACCTGGGTGATGGAGCCAGACTGCCTCCACTTACCCTACAGGCTGCCTGGAGTAGGGCTGCCCCTACTCCATGGCAGGGCGAGGCCTAAAGGCTCATCCTCTTTCTCCGGCCTTCCTCTGACCACAGACAGAGACAACAGCTACTTCACAATCACACCTGAACCTGCTAAAGGGGCAACACCTGAAAACCAAGGCAGACAAAATTCTTCTCTCCCTTGGGCTTAAAGAAGAGCCAGGCACTGGTTCATAGGCCTCAGAATTTTGTTCCTCGATACTAGTATGTCTTGAATTTGTATGTTTCCATAGACATTAGCTTCATCGTGATTTCGCGTTGGTAGGCTCATTCATTTATTCACTGGGAAACATGGGTAGGAGCTGGCCTGGCATGTCGCTGGTCGTCACTCATTGGAGTGGAGTGTGCATGTCAGATGCCACCTGGCATGTCAGGTGGCATCTGTCATCAAAGTGACAGCTCACCACCTTGGTTCTTACAGGGCTGACTGGCCTGTGCCTCTTTCTATCCTCAGCACTGCCACGAGTAATAAAGCACAGGGGCCCCTAGCCACAGACCAAACTCCCCATATTCCCCCCATGGCTTCCGGACCCCTTTAATTTACAACATTTTGCTCTGTGACAAATGAAGCAACCTGAAATAATACAGAAAATCTTCAGAACAACTTTTAAAAATAATTCTCAAGTTGTAAAATACTCAATGAACTCTTTTAAACTAATTCAATACCTTCATTTTTCACCTTTACATTCATCCATTTGCTTTGGTTCTGAAATCTCCAGGGGCAATTCCCGCCCGGTTTTACAGAGTTGAAAACCTCAAAGTCTGGGTCGGCTTTCACAGGCGTTGGGCAGGTTATCCAACTTCTGGAGTCTCAGTCTCCTCCGCTGTTAGAGGCACTTACACTTCCCCTGTGGAGTGGGTGTGAGAGCTTTAAACTCCACGTTGCCTGTGCAGCCAAGCACTTAGTAACCTCGTTGGGAATTACTGTCCAGCCCTCAGGCAACTCACGTGTCATCTCCCAGCTTATTTATTTCTCACACAGATTTTTTTCTCCTTTGCCTTCACTTCTCAGTCAGGAACTTGAACCTCACAACTGGGCTTTCTAACGTTTCTAGTTTCCCATCCTCTGAATCAGCAGGCAAGAGCCTGGGAAAAGGGAGAAAGGTCTAGCTGAGAACAGTATTTGTTTTCTCGCCTGGAAATCAAACCCCCGTTTGGGTCCACCTGCCAGAGGAGGCTTAAAACAATACGTTTTAAAGTAAAATAAGAGTCTCTTCTTTGCCCTGTGTGTCTTCTCCATTTTGGGCAAACGTCCTTCTGTCCCCTCCCATCCATCCGTTTATGTCTTCATGATCCACATTGTACACTTGACTGCTCCGGTCAGCAACCTTAGCAGGGGCCTCCTTTTGGAAACTGCTCTACCTGCAGAGCTGAAAACAAATACAGACAACACAATAGTAAATGGCCCTATCAGGGCGTCAGAACAGAACAGGCACATAAAAAGATGCTTCCTATCTTGTCAACCAAGTGTTAAGAACCTGTCTTGATTAGGGCAGGTATGCCCTTGTTAGAATGATAGGCCTTTTTGGTGTTCAAGGGTGGCAGGCCTGCCCTCACTGGGAGGCTCTGTGCGGGCCGCGTGTGCCCAGGCTGCTGACCATCTGTTTGTCTGCTTTTTCACTAGGGAAAGAAACCAAAGGAAATTTCAATCGAACAGTCACCACTGGTGGATTTTTTATTCCAGCAGCAAAAATGCATGGAACCAGCACTGGCAGCTCTTGTGACCTCAGCAAGCAGGAGGGTGACTGGGGTCAGGAGGGGACACCAGCAGGGGCCGAGGGGGGCTTTGACCTGAGCAGTGACCGAGGTCAACTCCAGGGTGCTCAGGCCCGGTTCCCACCCGAGCAGCTGAAGGTGTTCCGGCCCATCGAGGATCCTGAGAGTGAGCAAACAGCCCCAAAGATGCTGGGTATGTTCTACACCTCAAACGACAGTGCCGGCAAATCTGTCTTCACCAGCAGTCTCTTCCAGATGGAGCCCTCACCCCGTCACCAGCGCAAGGCCCTGAACATCTCTGAGCCCTTTGCTGTGTCTGTGCCCCTCCGCGTGTCAGCTGTCATCAGCACCAACAGCACCCCGTGCAGAACACCCCCGAAAGAGCTGCAGTCTCTTTCCAGCCTGGAGGAGTTTCCTTTCCAGGGGTCAGAGAGTGGAGGTTGGCCTGAAGAAGAGAAGCCACTGGGAGCTGAGACTTCTACAGGTAAAGGAGGGGAAAGAAGTTATTTTTCCACTGCAAGAGATTAAAAACCAGACTTAAATTTGCTTAAACAGAGTTTGCAGGACAATGTAATAAAGTGGTTGAGGCTGGGCTCTGAGCCAGACTGCCTGTCAAGAAGCTGTTGGTCACAGTCACAATACATCTTTGCAGCCTCGTGTAAATAACAGGTCTCTGTGACCTGAGGCACCAAGCTTGACTTCTTAGCATTGAACTGACTTATGTGTGAAGTGAAAGATTGGATTAAGCAAGGCTTCTTGACCTCAACCTATTGACCTTTGGGCATGGGTAATTCTTTTTTGTGGGGGACTGTCCTTCCTGTGCTTTGTAGAGTATTTAGCAATATCTGTGGCTTCTACCACTAGATACCAGTAACCATGCCCACCACCCATTTGTGACAACCAATGATGTCTCTGGACATTGCCAAATGTCCCCCGGGGATGGGAGGAGCGAAGTGGTCTCCAGCTGAGAGCCACTGGACTAGATGATCTTCCATCTCTGATACTCTGTGACTCTGGGATCTGAGGGCAGGACATTGCTAGGAGGAGAGGGTAAAGGATGTGAGAGGGTAGTGAGCTGAGAGAATTCCTTCCATCCTTCTGAAGCAGGACTAGCCCAGGTCAGTGACTGTGCTGGGAATGACCTCTCTTAAAATGAGTTATCATTCTCTTCCAACTGATAAGTCTCATCCTCATTGCAGCTTCTGTATCTAAGAAGGCAGCTCTTGAAGATGCCAAGCCAGGACCAGAAGCCATGAAGACAGTGGAATGCAGCAAAGGCCTTTCCCTGGAGACAGGAGCCCAACTGGAGGAGAAGAAAACCTCAGAAATCGTCCTGAGCAGTCAACATTCAAATGAACCGGAGAAGAGGCAGAATCTGGAGAAGGTGGTGGAGGAGGGTGGAGAGCCTGGCCCGGTGGAGTCCGGAGGAGTGCTGCAGGAGAGCCCCAGGGCCAGAGCAGAGGCGGTGTTCCTGCCTGAGATGGTAAGGAGGACCCACTGTCTGGTGCAGCCAGTAGGGTCTTCTTTTTCCCAAAGGGCTCTTCACATTGCATAAGTAGATTTTTGGGGGGTGGAGGGAACGAGTTTCTGACAGGGATTTTAGGAGACAACTTTCTAATCAGATCTAGGATTTTCTTTCATGGAGGTCCTACAGTAATGGGGATAGGTTTCCTGGGACAGATCCAACTCTAAATACTTCTGATCTGAAGTCTCCTGAAGCCAGTAATATGCCCTTTGGTTGTAATGACATTTCAGTCCCAGAAGCAACACAAAATCTGCTTGTCACACCCCAGTCCCAAAGATGATGGCCCTTCATGGAGGGGGTCTGTTCTTCCAGACGTCCTGGATGGACAGTGTCTGTGTTTGTAAAATCTTCTGTAATATTTCCAGAATCTGTTCCTTCCTGCTGTGGCTTCTGCAGCAGTGAAAACATGATGCCAGAGCTTACTAAACCTCTTCCACTTTTTAGAGGTGGAATTATCCTAGGTTTTTGGGGATGTCCTCATGTAAGCTGAAGGTGTGAGAAGGATTTCCATGGAGGAGCCCTACACTGGCGGGGAGGCAGCCCCGTGGCCTGGAGGAGTGTACCCAAGGGGCATAGGCAGCCCTGTTCGTCTGACTTGCTTCCAGGGCTTTGGTTCCCAAGGCAGGTACAAAAGGTCCATGTGCTGGGAGCTAGGGCAGTACAGGGACATCGTAGTGGCCTCGGGAGGCTGAATAAGGTTCCTGTAAGTCATGTTTGTGTTCGTAGAAGGAGAAGGACACAGAGGTTATTATAGTGATTAAATTCTGGGAGGCATCAGGTACGAATGGCATTGCTTTAAGAAAGAGGTGGAGTTAGCACTGGGGGGAGAACCAGGTTGAGTTCATGGGAGTGAGTAAAGGCACCAATGCATTCATTCATTTAAAATCCTACATTACACACCTTCTTTGTGCCAGGCACTCTGCCAGCACTGGGCTCACTGCAGGGCACAGGATGGTCACTGCCCTGCCTTCTTGGAGCTGACAGCTTCATAGGTGAAAGGTCACCAAAGAAGTAATTTCTAGGGTTTTGGAAGCATGGCGTTTTGTGGGAGCATAGAACAGGAGGACCCAACCTAGTCAGAGGGAAGAGGAGGGTCAGAAGGGTCAGAGAAGTCTTCTCTGAAGAACAGATGTTTAGATTGAGAACTTAGCTAGAAGAAAGGAGTAGGGGGCATAACAGAAAGAGAAAGACTTCCAGGAAGAAAGAGTAAGATGCACCATGAATCTGAGGTGGGAAAGACCATGAAAAATGTAAGGAATAGGAACAGAGTCAGAGAAATGAGGCTTGGGGAAGCAGGGGCCACAGCAGGTAGGGCTGCTTGGAAGGAATTTGAAGATTAACCTACAGGCAATGGACACTTTTCTGATTTGTTCAGAATTTTATCTTTTAAACGTCTATTCTGTGAGGAGAATGGCTTGGGAAAGGGCAGAGAGTAGGCGGGGATGCCAGTTAGGAGGCTAGTGTGTGCAGATCCGGTATGAAAGGCGGTGGCCTGGACTAGGGCGAGGCACTGGGGATGGAAATGAAGGGCTTTAGAGCTATTTAGAAGGCAGTGTGAACAGGCCTTGGTGAGGGATCGGATAGGGAGTGAGGAAGAAGGAAGAGTCAAGGACAGCTCATAGGTTTCTTATGTGAGCAAAAAGATGCACTATGGTCCACTGAGATGACTGACAGAGAGGTGGGAGTTTAGATGTTCATATATTAATCAAATGTATTGATATTAGCGAGGGATCGCTTAATGTAGGTGCTGAGGAGAGTAAAGAGATGAGTGAAAGCCCTCCTGTCCTGAAGGAGAGCACAGTCTCATATGTGAAGTAGAAATATACACAAATAAATGCAATACAGTACAATCAGATCTCAAAAATATTCCTGACTTTTGACCAAGTAATCTGGGAAAGTTATTTATAATAAATAATTCAAAAGAAAACAGTGAATCTGTTTCATTTCAACTTTTTATTGGGCAACTGTTCACAGTAGACCAAGCACCATTTGGCCTTGAGGAATCAAAAAAGAACACAATTCCTGACCTCAAGGAGCTCGCAGCCCATTAGGAAAGGGGGACCAAGCACCAAATTAACTGTCGTATGAAATGACACGTGATCAGAGCCGGCTGAGAAGTGATGTCAGGTTGGCAGCAGGTCAGACGTCTCAGAAAGGCCTGCATCTCCATGCACCCTCAGCACCCCCACAGGGTGGAGATGCCTCCCGATGCTTCTCCTTAGAATAGAATTTGACCTTGAGGCAAGAAATGAAAGGAACTGAAATGTGTTTCTTTGGAGCCGACCAGGCCTCCCGTTATCCCTTTCATGTGTGCAGCCTGGACTTTGTGTAGGGAAACAGATGTCAGGCAGAGGGAAGCTGGACTTGAGGGGAGACAAGGACAGTGAGCAGGATGGGGGAGGAGGCACCTTATCACATGACCAGTGGTTATCTGTGGGTAGTAGGAATATAATATTTTGCTGGTTTTGTATTCTTTCTTTTATATGTGTTAAAGTTTTTTCCCATGGGAAATACGTCTTGTTTTTGTTTTGTTTTGTTTTGATAATAAGGGAAAAGATATATATATAGATATATATATCTATATATCTATATATATATTTGCTGTGAAATATACATATAAATTTGCACAGCAGGTTTCAGGGCAAGAGTTCACGTTTTCATGCTACTGGGAGAATCTAATTCTTGTGTACCATTCAGTAAACCTGAAGATAAAAGTGACCAGGGGTTTTGTTTATTTTACCGTATTTTGCCGTGTATAATGCTTGCCCACATTTTTGGCCTTAATTTTCAGGGGGAAAAAAAGCTTTCGTTTGCATTGTATGTAAATAGGGAACTAGTACTACCCATGTATAATGTGCATCCTTATTTTTCCCTCAAAAAATTGGGCAAAAAAGTACGCATTATACATGGCAAAATGAAGTGTAAGGAATCACTGGACAGGGATTATGTGCTTATGTTCCAATGTCAACACAACTGGCTTTCAATCCTGGTCTGCTCTTGTGTGATTTAGGAAAATTGTTCAATCTGTTTGAACAGAAGGTTCCTCATCTCTAAAGTGGAAGTAATTCTAGTAGAGTTATCTCTTAGGGTTGATGGGAAAATTAAATAAGAAAATACAGTTAATATACAGTTGTGCCTTGGCAACCCTGGGGAAGGGGGTTGGTTCCAGGACCCCCTTGTATACCAAAATCCAATATGCTCAAGTCCTTTGTATAAAATGACATAGTACTTGCATATAACCTGTACACATCCTCCAGTACTTTAAATCATCTCTAGATTACTCATAATGCCTAATACAATGTAAATGCTATGTAAATAGTTGTTATACTGTATTGCTTAGGAAATAATGACAAGAAAAACATCTGTACATGTTCAATACTGATATCATAGGCCTAACTACATAGTACATGCCACCAACAAGGTAGCATTTCCCCAGCCCCAGTATTTCTGATCTGGGGTTGGGTGAACATGTAGGTGTGGAACCCCAGCAGTGGAGGGCCGCCTGTATGTTACAGCACATGGTAAGCACTGAATACACATCCAATTATTATTAGTGCTGTGTCCTTTATTTGGTGAGTTAGCATAGCCTGGCATGGCTCAGTCCCTTCACTTTCCTGGCAGATAGTGAGAATGACAGCCTCAAGAGTCTTTGGTTCAAAAATAATCAGTTTCTTGATGTTTTTCAGGATGAAGATGATCTGGCCAGCACCCTGATCTGGCCTGAGATTCAACAGGAGCTAAAAATCATTGAATCTGAGGAGGAGCTGTCCTCAGTGCCAACACCTGCTCGAAACATCAGCCCAACTCAACCCATTTTTGAGTCAAGTCCAAGGCCTTTTGCTGCCCCAGAGCCATCTGGGGGCTTACCTTGTGTCTCCACCCCAGCTCCAGTCTCCACCCATCTGGAGGAGTGGACTAGGGATCCAGCCAATCAGAGCACACAGGGGGCTCCCACAGCAACCAATAGAGAAAAGCCAGAGACAACCAGCAGTCTCCAAGGATCTGAGACTGAGAAGGGCCAGCGCCCAGATCCCACCAGCCTGGCTTCTCTGGAAATCGTCCCGTTTGAGACGGCCTCTCCACAAGCAAGGGTCAAGGTGGGAGGCCCGGGGAACCTGTCTCCTCTGATCCCACCTGCTCCACCCCCGCCAACTCCTCTGGAGGAGGCACCCCAAGTCCAGCAGTTGAAGGATGGGCCTGAAAGGGAAGACTCATCAAAGAATGTGAGGACAAATCCATATATAAACCAGCTGAAGTCCAAAGGCGGTCCTGGGATCCCCAGTCTTTGTCAGGGAGACAAGTCCTCTCCAGGACAAAGTGAGAAACAAAAGTCAAAGAATGCTGTTCCTGATGGAAAAGGCTCTGGCTTTCCTAGCTCAGCAAAGGAGGTGGAGACGTCCCCACAAGGAGAAGGGGATGCAGCCCATTCAGTACAGGAGCCCTCAGACTGTGATGAAGATGACACTGTGACAGATATTGCCCAGCATGGCCTGGAGATGGTGGAACCCTGGGAGGAGCCTCAGTGGGTGACGAGTCCCCTTCATTCCCCTACCCTGAAAAATGTGCAAGAGGCCCAGGTGCAGGGCCTGCAGGGCCCCCGACTAGAGAAGAGGCTCTCCCACAGGCCTAGCCTCCGTCAGAGCCATTCTCTAGATAGCAAAACCATGGCTAAGAGCCAGTGGACTCTCCAGGCTCCCTCCTCCAGCAGCTGTGTGAATCTTGAAGCAGAGAGGCATTCTGACCCTCTGCAGCCCCTGGCCCCCAGGAGAGAGCTTACTGGATGGCATGAGAAAGCCCTGAGATCCTTCAGAGAGTTCTCTGGCCTGAAAGGGACAGAGGCTCTTTCCAGCCAGAAGGAACCAGGTAGTTTGCTGCCTAAACCAGCAGAAACCAGCCCTGTCAGCCCAGCAGAGGGAAAGGACCTGGGGACACACCTGGGACACGGCAACCCTCATACTGAGCAGGGTAGTGTTCCTAGACCAGAGAGCAGCAAGGAGAGCTTACCTAGTGCACAGGACAGCACCTCACCTGGGGAGCATCCCCCAAAGTTACAGCTGAAGAGCACTGAGTGTGGGCCCCCCAAAGGGAAAAATAGGCCTTCCTCCCTCAACCTGGACTCTGCCGTTCCCATCACTGACTTCTTCCAGTTTGAGAATGTGGCCTCATTTGGTTCACCTGGAATGCAGGTCCCTGAGCCAGAAGACCCAAAGGTCACATGGATGACTTCATCTCACTGTAAAGTAGACCCCTGGAGGGTTTACTCCCAGGACCCTCAAGACCTGGACATTGTTGCTCACGCCCTGACAGGCCGCCGTAACTCAGCTCCCGTCAGTGTGTCAGCTGTGAGAACCTCCTTCATGGTCAAAATGTGCCAGGCCAGGGCCGTCCCAGTCATCCCACCCAAGATTCAGTACACACAGATCCCACAGCCACTGCCCTCTCAGAGCCCAGGGGAGGAGGGTGCTCAGCCTCTGGAGAGGAGCCAGGAGGAAGCCAGCTCAGCTGGTGGGACTTTTCAGAAACCTGCCAAAGATGATTCTCTCTCCTCCTTGGAAGGCCCAAAGGAAGAGAAGCCAAAGCAAGACACAGGAGCCATGGAGTCCTTGCCAGTGGATGCCACTGCACCCCACGTGTGTGAAGGACCCGCCCTTTCTCCAGAACCAGGTTTGGCTAACCTGCTGTCCACCCAGGATGCAGTAGTGCAGTGCCGAAAGCGCATGTCAGAGACAGAGCCATCTGGGGACAACCTTCTTTCTTCAAAAATAGAGCGACCGTCAGGGAATTCTAAGCCTTTCCACAGGTCAAGGCCAGGAAGACCTCAGAGCCTTATCTTATTCAGTCCTCCTTTCCCCATCATGGACCATCCACCTCCTTCTTCCACAGTGACAGATTCCAAGGTCCTGCTGTCCCCTATCAGAAGTCCCACCCAGACAGTTTCCCCTGGTCTTCTTTGTGGGGAGTTGGCAGAAAACACGTGGGTCACACCAGAAGGGGTTACACTTAGGAATAAAATGACCATTCCTAAGAATGGCCAGAGACTAGAGACCTCCACCAGCTGTTTCTATCAGCCTCAGCGGAGATCAGTGATTCTGGATGGAAGAAGTGGGAGGCAAATAGAATGACTTCAGTTCATCTTGTGGTGTCTGAAAAAAATGCCATGACTCATGTGGGACTTATTACAGGGCCAATTCAGCATTAATCCAGACACAGGTTATCCAAGTTTGGGCTTATTTTGGATGCTTCTGCTCTTCCTTCAGCCTTTTGGCCACTTATTAGTCAGGTAAGGGAGAGGATGAAATTCTTCCTCCAGTGAGATTTGGGGCTTGTCTGTGTGTTGCATTTACTCCCCTCTCGCCATTATCTATCTATTACTGTGGCGAGCTGGATGTGATAATGACTTCTGCAAGGAAAGAGAAATCTTTCGTCTATTGGAAAAGGTTGCTACTGAGGTTTGAAAGCCTCCTCTTTACTTCAGGCTTTTTAATCCTCTTTAAAGCATGTGTTCTTTTAGACCAGTATTCTGATAAGCTTTGTAAACGTGTACTATCCGGAATAGAAGCAGATTTGGAAAAGCTAACTGATGTACACAGAGATCTCCCAGTGGGTGGATTTACTCCTGCTCTTTCCTGAAATTCCTGCTGGCCCGCCCAAGATGGCTCCATGTGCCAGCCTAGAAAATCAGAATCCATACGCAAGAGGAAACTCTGAGACTGGCACAGTCTATGCAGAATTTCTGGCTCTGGCTTTTATTAATTTGGGACTCCAACGACCACTATCCTGGCCTCTGATTGATAAATCCAGTAGCTGGACAGGTTGGGTGGTGAGCTGAGGGTCACCTCAAAGAAATGTGCCAAGTCTTCATTTACGTAAGCAATAGTGATCTACTTTCATTCCAATATCACAGTCCAAAAACGGTGTCATCATAAAGAAAAGCCTCACACATGGACAGAGCTACACTCCAAGCGGAATGTGTTTCAGTTGGTGGGGCAGTAGCAGAAAGCACATCTAGGTCAGCTTCCCTCTTACACACTGGGCTGGGACAAGAGTGAGGGAGAAGATGAGGAAGAGCTCCAGGAGGGGTGGGGAAAGAGCCCTGGCATGGCGGCCGTCCCTACCATCTGATGGCCGGCAGCTCTCCTTCTGAAAATCTAGTTCGTTTTAGCCAGTGGACTCCTTCCTTTCTCCTGCTCCCTTCATTGCTGAAGGACAGATTTGAGGCACTCTTTCTTCCACACTCCCCCACCACCACCCACCACCCACCCCAGGCACTCAGACTTGCCCTTCTCCTGTCTGTTTAAAAGCAGAAGCAATAAACCAACCTGATTTTTTGTCAGTTATTTAGAACCTCAAATGGCTCCTTCCTTTTCAGCTGCAGAGAGGAAAAAGAACTAATAACCTGCTGGCATGTTTTTGGTGCTTCCCCACAAAGGGCCTCACAGGAGCACTTCTCAAGGCAAAACCCATCAGGGTATCAACATTTCACCTTCCAAGACAGCTATCTTGTTTGAAAAACAAAGAAAAGTAGACCTATTTTTAGCCCTGTGCACCTCCTCTCAGATTCAAGTCTGGTTGAACTCTGCCCAGAAGCTCAGTCACTGCAGAAATTTCTCTTTTAAGAGTCAGCAGTACCCCTGGGCAGACCTCACAACCAAGGCAGGGTGCTGGGCTGGGTAGGAGGTGAACTAAAGTTACCTCCTCCAGTGAGAAACTGGAAGCTGGTATCTTGCAAGAGATACATAGTCCTCTCTCCCTTCTTCCCTGATAAGCCGTAGAAACCATTTTGAAATCTCATCCTGTAGCTTTTAAGCCACTATCACAGGGGTACACGTCTCCGGTAGGGGCAGGCCAGCTGCTGAGTTTTGCTTTCAGAGGCACTGAGGTGAGTGAGCAGGGGGTGCAGTCAATAGGCCTTTGGTCAGGGTCTTTGCATTCTCATTAGCTGAGCAAGACATCAGACCAGCAGCCAAAGAGATGTCAACCCCTAAGAAAAGCCCTCGAGTAGAGCATTTTCCCCCCTAGGGAAGCAAAGTGAAGAAGTCTAGTGGTGACAGATGAGAAAGGCCATGTTCTGGAGATTTGAAAAGTACATTCCTACCTTATCAGAAAATGTGGGCAGATAGATAGGCTTTCTGTCAGTCTCAGTGGGCAGTGGAGTCTACGCTTGGAGCTTTGATAAGGACCACGTTCCAGTTAGAAAGTGATAGAGGAAGGGAACTGCTCTTTGCTTCACCATCAGAACTCTGAGCTGAGTAATGAAACATTTAAACTATCTTGTGATTATTTTACATCTTTGTTTGTAACATGTACAGAATGTTTTTATTTGGGCACAGACTGAGAAGCCACTAGTTACATGTTAACACGTGAGTCCAATTTGAGGCGCCCATGTTGATTCGTTAAATGGCCGCCATGTTCCTGAGAACCTCAGGGTTCTCATCTTTCATTTCTAGCATCATCTTCAGTAGTGTGGTGGCGGTATGGACGTCATCATGTGACACAATGACCACTGTCTGGAGACACTTCCTACTCTGAGCTTCCGGGCCAGTCGGTACAGAAGGCCTAGGAAGCAGACTCACTTCTTAGTCAGCTGCTCAGCTCCTGAAGTGCGCGCTTCTCCTGTGACTGCCACCCGGCCTGGCAGCTCTCACAAACGTGCTCACACACTTCCCGTGGCCTGGCGCTGAAGGAATTCCATTCCAACGCAAAGAAACCTTATTATATATCGCCCCTGAAATTGTTCCTATAAGTACCCTGAGGTTACCTGTCTGGTCACCCACTTGGGACTGAAATGAGAATGGCTGGTTGGGAATCAGACCCCACCTAGGGGAGGGAGAGGAGAGGAGAGGTGCTGCTGTTTTTAGGAGGATCTCCAGAGCGCCCTAGAAAGGGCTGCAGAATCACATTCTCTAAGGGTGACTTCAAATCAACCATCAGTCCTCAAAATGGGGTGGGGAGTGGTGGCTGATTTTAAGTGTTGAATTTGAAGTGTTTTCTTTCAGAGTTAATGGTTGCTTAAGATAATAACCTATATTTATTGACAGAATTGCCTTTCCATGCCAACCTTTTTTTTTTTTTTTCCAAAATGGACTAGATAGAAGGGATTGGTTTTTATTCTGTTTCACATGGAATATGAAGAGATCTGACCAAGAACCCCTTTAAGACACTATTAGCCTAAAAATCAAAACATTGGTTACATCAAATTTCTGGATCCTGGGGAAATTAAAAATGTAAACATCATTCCCCTCAACAGAAAATATTTATCAAGAGCGTAGTAATACTGCACTGGGTACTTCAGAACTCTTAAATTCCTGAGTCTAATGAAAAAGGGGAAAGGGATGATAGCAAATGAAACAGCCTGTAAACAACCAGCAGCAAGATTTAAAACCATTAAGTCACGAAATGAATGTGGAAGGGAGAAAATGTAGTAACTAGCATCTTTTAATAGGATTATTAGTGTTCCAAGTCACCTACTGGCTGTGATCAAATTAAACACATTACAAATGCGTTCCAAAAGAAAGTACTAGGGAGACATTCAGGTGCTGAGATAGATTTTTGCTTTGATCTTTACAAAAATTAGAGTAGTAACTAAGTATAAACAGTCCTGTGGTTTTGCATGGTCTTAACTGGTTTGGTTGTGAAGTCTTGTTGGATCTCTGCAAACCTGCAAGGTGGTACCAGTGTTCCCTACTCCTTGAGTGGTTTCAGAGCCTTCTGCCATCACAGAATGGATTAACTCCTGTTGATGAATTTTAGGTCCAAGGTAACTATTACTTTCATATCTAATGTTTAGCAAATGACAATCACATTTGACTAAAATTGGGTGGGACAGTTGTTTGTCTACACAGGCCTTGGGTTCCTCCCTGAAGAGGGACTGGGGAACAAAGATTCAGTTATCTAGGATTGGAATGGGAGAGGTTCGGGGTAGGTCCAATTCCCATCAGGATTGATTAGAGCTAGACTCCACCACAAGTGGTCCTCCACCAGTGGTCGTATCGGATGACAATATAAATCTTGGGGTTAAGTGTTGCCAGGAGTATAATTTCAGGCACTTACAACAGGAAGTTCAACTCAAAATTCGGAATAACAAAGGTGTTGACCTTGTCAACACCTTTTCTAGCAAAGACCAGGCCAGGAGAGGGAGCGAACACCTTTCTGAGCATGGAGAGGAGTGGGAGATAGGAGGGTAATTGCCTGAGATCAGTGCCAGCCCAATAGGATAAAACTGAGGAACATCAGAGACTGATTGGCACCCAGATCATTTTGTAGCCTTGACATTCATGAGCAAGGCAGGGATCACTACTCGATTAGGCTGAAGGAGGTTGTTACTAAGAAGGAGAAACCCATGAAGTACATAGCCATGCATTTTACTGGAGGAATCACAATGCTTTGCAATAACTTAATGTCACAGTACTTCCTGGTGTATAACTCTGCAAGGTAAAGAAGCACTTTTTCAAAGGAGTTGATTAGAAAGCCAAATGATTTCAGCTGTTTGTTGAGCTTAACAGATGTTTCCAAAGATATAATCAAAATGTTTTTCTATTAATTAAAAAAGTATAAATATTAAACCTATCCATAGAGACATTTAAGTGTAATTAAAACAGATTGTTATGCTTTTTAAAATGTACTCTAATAAATGATATAAAATGTAATGCTTATGATGGCGCTGTGAACTGGAGGACATGGGGTCATCAGAACCCACAGCAGGGCTGTATTATGTGCACTGGGCTCATTGTTCTCTTTGAGGTCGGGCTTTTTTTTTTCAACGTCAAGGTGTAGTTTCACAGCAAAAGTCCTCATGATTTGCTTTAGTAAATTTTTCTTGTTTTCATTTTATCTCTTAATAATTGTCAAACATTTGCAACTTCCTCTCTTACAGTTGTGATTACATGTGTCACCCAAGATATGCAGCATAAATCAGTGCATATTGTAATGAAAAATGAGAAAAACAAGCTCTTCTCAAAACTCCACAGCTTCAGAGCTTGAGAAGTTTGGGTCCACCTACACAAAAGTGAACTCAGTTTTTCTATTATTTGAATCAATCAAAAGGGGCTATTCTTTCATTTGAGTGATTAATGATGGTCTGGGGGTAAAAAAGCAAAAAAAAATTGTAATCTTGGCATATATTATCACTTGGCATAATCTTGGCAATTATGCAACCCAGGCTCACAAGCCAGTGGCATTGGCAGTGAAAGATATCATAGACAAGGGAATACAAATACCAACATTTTGGTCATAATATTCTGTTTAGAACCTCACACCTCTGCAGGCCACTCCTGTCAGCCTGCATTACAACCCAAAGTGCCTTTTTCTCCTCTACACTCCCAGATGCCCTGTCTTCTGCTCCTCCCTCTTGAGTGCCCTCTCCCACCCCAACTGGGGTTACTCCTAACATTTCCCGCAGTTGTTCCGTACTCCTTCTCTCCTTACAGTCTCTCTCTACTGAATATTGCCTCCACTTCCTGGGCTTCAGTAACACTTGACACTCCCCGGAGGACATTTCTTTCCCTGAACAAAAAGGCTGCACATCTTCCCCAAGTTACACAGACTACAAAGAGCTGAGGTGTTCTCCAAGTTTCTCATTTCTGCACCATTGTCTTCCCCTCACACAAAATCTTTTACCAGACGAAGGGCATCCAGCTCAAAATTTTAACTTTTACCATTCCTTGTGGCCACGATGTAGTCACTCTCCCAGCTTGCCAACTGCTCAGCACCAGGCTCCCTGTTTCCTCTCTGCTTCATGCCCCACCTTCATTCTGGATGACGTCAATATTCCTGAGGAAAACCCATCCAACACCTTTGCCACAACTGCTAACAGCTTTTGCTTCTACTCAGTTTTGGCTATTTCTTCCATGGTCACACACCAGACTGTTTCACAACCCAGAAGTTTGTGGTCCTATTATATTAATATTCCATTCTCAGAACTTCTCCTATCCTTGCTCCTTTTTTCCTTTTACTTGCTCAAGATCACTGATGCCTGGTCCACTCCTGCTCTTCCTGACAGTAGCCCCACCAGACTTCCCTCCCTAGCCTTTTCAGACCCTGAGGTGTGTCATCTCAACTATTCTCATCTCAACCATTAACTACTCCCTTGACCACTAATCCTTTAGCCATCCCTGCCTGGCAAACCTCCCAGTTAGAACCAGGACCCTTACCACCCATCTTCTCTACTCTTTTACTCTCCCTTTTGAGTTACACCTGAGATCATAAAACCATGGTAGGAAAGAGCCTTTGGAAATTTATGGTTTACCACCTCAGCAGTGGCCTTATTCCCAAAACTCAAAAAGGCTATTCTAGTCACTTCCTACACGGACTCCACACCCCCCAAATTGATTACTGCTTC